CTGCACCAGGTAAAAAAAAAAAAAAAAAAAAAAAAAGAACGCGTTTTCGACAAGAGAGGATTTTCCATGAAAATTAAAAAAAATTAACGAAAAATAACGTCACGCATAATTTTCATCAAGGATACGAAACTCGATGAAAATTGGACGAAAAAAAAATTGCGCTCGAGATTCAACCGAAGATACATATTTTCCTCGCATTCGCTTTGAAGGGTCCTAATTAGTTTTTCATTTGATTTTCTTTTGTCTAGTCTCAAAATAAATTATAGCCGTTTCGAAGAACTCCACTGCGCCAAGGTCCAAAGCACTTGGTCTCCTTATCCTTTCTGGTGATAATTATTCTATGCCTCGGGATATAGGTTCCTCGGTCGTTAAACGGACAGTTCGTATTTTACGGTACAATGGCTGCCGGGAGGGTGCTTCTTCTTTGTTGAAGTTTCGACGATTATCTTCGTATTTACGTTCCCGGAAGGAAGTTAGATCGATCCGACGTGTTACTTAAGAATAACGTTCCACCCCAAGCAGACACGATGAAAGGCCCTCCTTATGATATAATATTACAAGAATTTTGATGACACTATAACGCCATTAAGATACCATCTTCTGGATTCGTAAAATAATACCACATCACGCTATAGATCGAACAAGCATTATTCCCCTTGAAATAAACAGAAGACGGCAACCTCACAGGCAGTGGCTGGTGCGAAAATTTCCAACCCCTTAACCCGATGGTGAGTTAACCAATAACTTACCTCAGATATATCCCAGTGAAAGAGTTTCATTAAACTATCGATTATATTTCTATCCATGGGGCAATAGGTAAGTTAAAGGTAAATGAGTCGCTTTACCGCTAAGTTGGTCGGATCGATTTTTCGTTTTTTCGTAAAGTCGAAAGTTTCGTGCCGTCTTGTCTCGCGAATCAAACTTCCTATTAATTAGCTGTACGATGTCTATAATCAACAAATAACTGGATATTTACCAGTGAGACTTCGCATTTGATTGCACCTAATTCGCAAACAGCGAGCTACCGTCAGTCGACACGCTCGTGTTTGCTCGTAGAATTGGTATTAAACTGGCGCTTCACGGTTTGTAAGCTCGAAATTTCTCTTCGGTTATTTGGCTTGGGTTAACGTAAGCACAGTGATTTGCATTCGTCGATATTTCACTGATACAAACACCTGATACTGAACGTCCGTAGAGGCCAGAGGCAATAAATATGAATATGAAATATTTATTTTAAAAAATATTAAAAATATCCTATTCTATAGTCGCTCGTGCGAATCGTAGCTCAACGTCACTGTTTTATTTCGTTCAACGTACTTAGCGCCTGTAATTCCCTCGTGGCAGACGTTTGGCTCTTAAAGGTCCCGAGTCACTCATGATACACGACTCGACGAGGGTGGCCTGACTGTAAAATCGAAAGACCGCTCTAAACGCTGTACGAGAAACAAGGAAAATACTGGTAGTACATGGTTTATAGTCAGTTTCGTTTTGTTTTAAGTGCACTTAACCGTAACGAGAAGCAGCTTCTGGCTTTTGGGGTGCGATAAAACTGAAACTGTTTATTTCCCATTAAATTGAAATCGACGTGAATTTAACTAAAATTGATATATAAATTTAAATTAGTTTTCTTGTATACACGTCCACGTTACAGTCGACTTTAATCTTTATCTTCTTTTTATAGGGATATTACAATGGGGATATACATGGTAGCTATGGATATATAAAGATTAGGAAACAAGACTGGAGGAATTCACGAAAATTCCCGCAGTCTTATTACCATCCTGCGAAATCAATGAGTCTATATAACCACCCTATTATCAACCTCATTAACCGTACCCTTAACTCCGCTCAAACTTCAACCACGCGCACGTTCTCAATTCCCGTTCAGAGTAGAGAGCGCCGTCACGCCAACTATTTTATAGTCAGTTATTTAACCCCAATTAATTAACCCTCCATTTTATTATAGCGACGAACAAGGGACGATTATCCCACAAACGAGGGTGGGATGTTACGCATCATTTTCTTGCATGCGGGAATGCTTCCAGTTTAGAGGTTCATTTTTGTTTCATCCCCTGAAGCATTGACGGCAGGTCAGATACAGGCACTCGATTCAAATTCCGTTCTTAAATGGACCATTCGCGTCCCGGTAATCACGACCTGAATAACCCATCTATACGTCTTCCTCTGACGTCTACGTATTTTGGGATAAGAATAGACGAAAACCGTGATACATAACCTACATTCGCGTAATGAAAATTTCAAAAGGTAAATAAAAATTTATTCACGTTGCAAATTTTGTAAATTTCTCTTTCTTCCCGTGGCTGCTCGGCGGACACCCTGATCGTGAATATTACCTGAAAGAATTTATTCGTCTATTGAATTTTCCGATAAAATACGAATTATCTTAAACGAGTTTTCGGCTGTATACACGGTTTATGATTTTCTTTAGGTTCACACGTAAAACATTAGTTCCAACAGACATTCAAATATTCATGGAAACGACGAAACAAACCGATGCGGCGTCGCGGCGCCGAATAAACTTTTCATTTGGCGTGAGATCGCGTGTTACAAATTACCGGCATCCCGACGTTCCCGAAGTCAAAATCGATTCGCTCCCTGTACTCTGTGCCAGTGCAATCGGCGTCCCTGTGGCATTCGACTTCCGGTGACTGGTATGAATGGATCCCCCGTGAGGATAAGGGTGCATATAATATCTTTGAATTTCATCCAACTGGCCCTTATCGATAATCGAACGTATAAAGTCGCCGAGAAAGTTTTCGATTTCGAAATAAAAAGTTTGACGTTTCCCACGAATAACGCATCGGAATCGGGGGAACCGCGTGAAATAGAATATCCTTGTATTGGTAGGTGACAAAGTGCGTGTCACAAGGCGGAACTTTAAACCTGCCGCAAAATCCATTTCCACCGCGAACGAGTTTCACGTCTGGCGCCGTCATTGAACTGGGCAAAGTCACTTGGCGAAGATTGTTCGCAGTGAGTCAGCGTCTTCCGGTTACTGGACGTTCGTCCTGGTACCCAGGAGGTTTCGCATAGAATTCAAGTCTCTCATTCATAGATAGACTAGGGTCAGTTAGTTATATCTCTGAAGATAGGAATTTCGAGTTGGCAGATTCGAGAGCTCGATTCACCGGAAGTCCAGACTCAGACTCGAGTGCTTTATCGATGCTATAAATTATCGCGAAACAATTTCCAAGCTTGAACCGCGCTTCGTTTCTCGACGCACAAGGAGAAAAGACTCGGAGATAAAATACGAGTTTATCTCCCGTCGACTAGTCAATTATCTGGTTACGTAGAACTCTATCGCGAAAACTACGTATTTCGGCGTCCTCCTGTCACTCTCGCGGAGGGTGGAAATCTCGCGGGAAAAATATTTCCTTTCAATGGCCGTTATCTCTCCTTGCCGGCTTTCCTAAGGCTATAGCGTTTTATGTATGGAAAGTAGATAGTCGGCAGGGAGAGGGTGGAATAAGGATAAAGGAAGTTAAAGTAGGGCCCCCCACCCGTGTCTAAGGCCAGAGTGCACAGGAAGGGTAAGGGAGTGTAGGAATGCACTGCGTTATCATTTGCCAAATCGTTAAACGTCTTGGAGCTTCTACTATGGTCTTGTTGTAAAATCGCAAAGTCCCAAGGTAAATTTGTCTTAGAAACTCACGTTTAACTTTATTCCGTGTCATTTTATTTCCGACAGTAGTCAAGGCTGTTAGATGTATTAAAATAATACGGAGGCGTTAAGCGCGCCAAGTTTCAGACGTTGGCTATTATTATTCGCGCTTGAGGAAGCCTTTTTTTAATTATAAATATTTATACACGTAACATATGTATATAGAGCTTTAAAATATGGCTTGCACTGTATCGCGAATCAGCTTGCGAAATATGTGCCTCTGAGGTTTCCCTCTCGCTCCATATAATTTGTCCGAGCTAAATTGGAAATTAGTATTCATTAGCAATTTCGCGGCTACCCAGAATCCACTGTGTCGCCGTTTACGGCCTATTCGATTTCCCGTGTAAAAGAGAGCCAGTTAAATACTACACAAAGACCGCTATGTATATATGTATATATATATACAACCCCCATATTCAAGCTATTATCGTCAATAACTATATGTGGGCGGTCCGAGACTAAACTACCCTTTAATTACGTTTAAACGCTATCACTCGTTCCGGTACAGTTGCTTGATAGCCACTGCACGTGTCGCCAGCGAATTAATAGAATTTTTAATTAAAATCCCGCGTAATTGTGCCAGGAGAAAGGAAAGAAAAGAAAAAAGAATGGAAGAGCATACTGTAAAACAGTCCACCTGTGACGTACATATATAGCAGCTACAAGTAACAAGATCGTACCACGTATAACTATATACGTGCATAGTAAGAAGTTAATACCTAAATCTGATTGCAAAGATAACAGAATTTCGTTTAACCTTTTGAAAATTTTCCTGCTGCACCAATCCCCTCTTTCATCAAAATTAATTCAACTGTAAAAAAATCGATGCTCTTGATGCTTAATATGTGGTAAGGGTTCTTCATTAGGGACATGCTAATAAATCATTGTATCATCCCTTGAAACACGTGACACCCCCCTTTCCTACTACGTACCGTCGTATCGTTAAACGAAGCGGGCGAATTTACTTTCGGGAGATTTAATTGAAAATTCCTGTTCATTAGCACAATTATCGGGAAATGGTTTGTACCCGTGTGCAGAGTCACCCCTTTATAAACTTTTGTATCGTTCATGCCGAGCAGACGTATTTTACATCCCCGAAGGCACAAGACACGTGGAGAGGGTGAACAAGCCGAGGCGGATTGCGTGCGCGACGTTAATTTATTTTCGCGAACAATTACAAGGAAATCGCGATGGCTCAATCGAGTTGCTTATCATTGGCGGCGCATTGTGCAGTGGTTTTAAGAGGGAGAGAGAGAGAGAGGGAAGACATAGAGTGGGAAAGAGAGAAACATAGAACGAAAAAAAAAAAGACTGGCATAAGGTAAAAGGATAATTTTTAAGGGTTTAAGAAAAATGAAAGAGGGATGGTATGATAAATGGCTATCGCGAGAAAAGTAAATAGCCTTTAGGAAGAAACTATTTTTCGGTAACGTGTGCTGCGTGTAAAGGACAGAAATTCTCGGACCGATATAAGATACCAAATAGTAAAAATGACCAAGGAATCCCAGAAGCGTGTTAAAACGTAGGAAATTCTCGGCGTGCAGCTTGTTTACCCTGTAAACATAGATCTGTCTGCGAAGCATCGATCTTTCAGAGAGAAAAGATACGGGCGAAGTCGAACGTTTTGAGAATTTTCTTTGTTTTCTAACTGGCCGATTCGCCGTTCACGGCAAATAAAAATGGTCAGGACGTGTCTGGGGTGGATATATAAAGTATCGTTCTTTCTCTATGTAGTATTGAATATATATATATATTTTATTATTTTTTTTTATTGATCTTTTATTTTCTTTCATTATCGAGAGACTTTCCCGTAGAGAAATCGATCTCGTCGTGCAAGTTGCGCGGTCTTCTCCTGTTTGTTCGTTGGCTCTTTCAATATTGTCAACTTTACTCAAGAAAGATAAATCATGCATTACGCACGAATCGCGCGGCTCGTATGAAATGCCTCGGACTAGACAAACGTTTTACGTATAGATAGAACGAAGCGAAAGGCAGCGATAACGCTTATCTATTTTCTTCATTTATTTTCAGGACCGGGAAACCCAACCGTGGTCACTGCTCCTTGCCTATTTCAATGTTAATTAGCACCCCCCTATTAACAGCCCTTCTATTCTTGGTCGAACTGTAGAACCGACCATTCACGTCACGTTCGTATCCGCTTCCGGTAACAATGGCGAACAGAGTGACGACGTGTAGCTATAGTTTTCACACTGTACGTCACAGACTGTGATACACGTGTTACATTGGAAGCAATCATACGAGTATTATTTGTTTGAGTAATTTTGGAAAATTAATAAACCGTTTTCGAAATAATTTCAGACAATTTGCCATTAATTGAATCGACACACTTTTTTGCTTTTTTTTATTAAATCCTTATTTACTCAAATTCGTAAAAACTTACTAGAAATGCCGTGCGAGATGCTTATACCTAATTATAGGAAAATTCCTTAGCAAATGGAAACACGGAATATTGCAGTGCGGTTTTCCTCTACGGTTTAGGATCAAAGCTTGAGGTTTCCAGCAGCCAGGATCCTTATTTAATGGTATGTGGTTTGAACCACAAAGCCCAATGACTCTGTGGGTAACTCTAGATTTCGAATGGAAACTTATCTACTTAGATATTCGCATCTCTATTCGTATGGAATATTAGACTGTTTGCTAATTAATTCGAACGAATCCGTCGATTGGTCGAAAATTATGCGCGCTTTGTTATTATGCGGTGTACTCTGACTTCTGTCACATTTTCATTCTCATATCGATGTCATTTTACTTTGGTCATTTCGAGGGGACATTTGGAAGATTATTTCGTGACTGTTATCTACGGAGATTTATTGGAAGGACGGTGACACTTTTAGATAACGAATTTAAGCCTGGAGTTCTGATAGCGTTGAGGACGCCCGTTTCTCACCTTAAAATTTACTACGAAAATTTTCGACTTTCACTCTTTTTATTTTATTCAAAAAATTGTATTCTCCAATTTCTACGCGAAATGATGCCGGGCAAAAAGCATGTATGCGTCCATATGAAAAATGAACAATTGGGGATGCTAATGTCAGGGATGACGTCACAGTAGTCTCCTTATAATCGAAACTGTCAACCTATTATAGGATACGAAGGAATGATAGATAGTATAGTATGGTACAGTATAGCAGAGTATAATGATACTCACTACCTATATACATATGTGAAAATATGCTATAGTTATATATGTTGACTGTAGCGACTCGAAGAAGTGATGATTTAAAATTTACAATTTTCTTATATCATATTAAACAAACCAGGAATGAGAAAAAATAATTGATTACTAATAGGGGATTTTTCCTCGATCTATATTATATATTGATTAAGGATAGTTGCAATAAAGTGAAATAGGGCTCGTCGCGAAAATAAGATTTAACTTGAATTAAAAGTCTATCATATCTTGCAGTTGAGCACTCCGCTTCTCCCATCAAATCCAGCTCTGAGATTGCCCGATTATCCGCTCATGGATAATTAGTTTTACTTGGATCTCGGTGTTCCATCTAGTCCTGAGGTTTTCCTTTCAATGATTAATTCCATTAGCCAGAAATAACAGTGCCGAAACTATAGTAATAGACTGTGGTGTACGTTTCCACAATAACAAGCTATATACAAGAGAACGCGATGTCCCGGGAAGAAGCACGGTCGAAAATCAGCAAGTAAAAAAGAAGGGGAAAAAAAAGAAAGAAATTTGAACGCAGATTATTTGTCATTTGGATCGGGTAAGAGGGTCAAAAGAAAAAGGTGGGGGATACAGGAGGAAAAGGTCGAGGATCCTAAATCGACGTCTCGCCAAAGAAAGAAGACGAATGGCAGATTGCGGATTGTCGGATGGTCACGGTGTGAGATCAGTGTCCTGGCCTAACATGAGGATGTAAAAAAGAAATTTCGATGTAGATATTCGTATAGAGATTGTAATAAAAAGAAGACGGTATAACACGAGAAAAAAACATTGTAAAGAGGATATGTTATATATTGTATATATGTATATATATATATATATATATGCAGTAATATTTATGTCACCTCATCTTATTTATCGCGTTGGTCTAACATCCTTTAAACGACGGCCATCTTTTCCCGCCAGATAACTTATAGGCTGAATGCAAAACTGATTCGTGAGATAAACGTTACGTAACAGTAGTTGGACAAAGGTCCTCGAGTCTCAGCCATAAATACACAGGAGACTCCGCGAGGCTTTACTGCTGTTCACGTTGTTATCTTAACCGAGGCATACAACCACACGAGAATCTCTGAAGAAAGTCTTATTATTATTCTCTTGGTTGGCTCGCTTCCATTTTCCAATAGAATGGATACACGGGGCTCCTATAATCAACCCCCCGTGGTACCTTTATCTTCTCGGAGTACACCGTAGCTGTCTGAATATTTTTAAATGACCTTCCTCGAGGGTCGCGCGAAATAATTTACGCGTAGATAGAATTAGGAATAATTATGAATTCAGACTCTCTTTGTCCCTTCATATCTCGATCCGGCATTTCGCCGAACGAACGAGTGGGCGTCGATATCGGTATTTCTCCATTGTGCTACCGGCTTCGCGGAATCTTTCAGGGAACTTTATGAGTTTTCGCAGCCCCGTAAATTACCTGAAAAATAATTTTGTGCTCTTTACATTCAACGTTCCTAATCGAACTTCGAAATTCTCTCGTCATGCAGACTCGAAGTTTTCGAATCGCGAACGAGCTCATTTGCACGTGAAAATCGATCGAGTAATTTCTTTTTTTTTTTTTTTTTTACTTTAATCGCGCACCTGCTCGGCGAGAGCACGACTTTGTTAGTGGAAGATGAAGAGTTTGCTTAATCGCTGCTTGACCCCTTTACATTAGCTCGGTGCAGTTCGAGCTGCGAGAGCTTCGAGTACTTAGCGAACTCTGCTCTGGATACTTATAGACGCTAGGAACCTTTTTTTGCAATACGCGTTACCCACGCTCTGTGACGTATAGGATTCTTTTTTTGTTCACAGATTGGCCCTGGTTCGGTGAGCCTTTAAACAACCTGACAGTTTCCGTCGGACGAGAAGCCATTTTCACGTGTATCGTTGAAAATCTTGGACCGTACAAGGTAAGCATCGTGAGAGCCGACAGAGTCTGGCGTCAAGTACGTATATTATTCTTTACGAGAGTCCTGAATAAATTAAATTAATAAATTGGATATTTTATACGATTTTCCTACCAGTCCCGAATAGTACGTGTTTGTCGAAGGTGGAGAATCCTGGGGATATAATTATAAATAATTTTGCAACTAAGGACTCTGCGAATATCACCACGCGATCTTGAGAGATTCCATTAAGTTTGAATAAAATCCCTAGGGGGTGTGAGTTCAGCGGTTTGTTAAGGGACTCTATCTCTCTCTCTCTCTCTCTTGCTCCATTTGAGGCATTCGAATTCTCTCTCGCTCTTCTCATTTACCGTCCTCTCCCTTTACTTCGCTTTAGACACTGCAATGATTTTCATCCCCATGGAAACGCTTTTTCACCCTGAAACAGCATACCTTTCCTGAATCGGTGTGTACCGGAGTGAGTAAGTCGAGCCCAGTACGCGCAGACACCTATTTACAATGTAACCGAGCACTTGGACTCTTTTTATAACTATACATTGGATGGTTACCGTAAGCGAGTGGTCTTTGTTTTATACTTCGATATTTAATAGAATCAATACGATTCCTATCGAGGCTGCATTGCTTCGGTTCGGAAATGAAAGTGCCTCTGGGTCGTGATTTAGAAAAAGGGGTTGCTGCAACCGAGACTCCTTGTACCAGAAAGTATCGCTGATTGCTCGCCACCGGAAATTACCATTCCTGACGTAAAAGGAATTTTATCTCGAAATTCCTTAAATCTTCGTTGGCCGAAGTCAGCGTTGAGATTTATTGATAGCTGCGCTGCACCCATTTACTGGCTACTGAGTAAACATTACTTTGGGCTCTTTCTACCGTAAGAATCAAATTTCAGCCAAGTTCAATTACACCGGAAGTCATTTCACTTCTCCTTCGTTCCACGTCGTCCGCGAGTTCTAACAGTCGCGGAATTCGTTATCTCATAGCGCGCTATTTCTCGGTAGCTATCTGACGCAATTTACCTAATACGGCGAACGCACGTTAAATATAACGATACGAGGTACTGAGCTACGGAATTAGCCGGTTTCCGGTGACAGCGTCGGACTCGCGTGTCTCCCACTTTATATTATACCATCGGTCCGTGAAATTTTCCTAATTCTATTAAAAAGTCGAAATTACTTGCCGCCGGAAATGCCGAGATAATTTTGCTGGGCGGCCGCGCACTGCCTTTATATCCCCTAAACCTAATTGAAGGAGGTCACTTTAAATTTGGACTGTGAGGTCTGGACGAGTCCCGTTAGGACGCGGCAAGAAATTTCGTCGCGGCGTTAGAAACGCTTCATACCTATTAACGTGTAACCCGATTTTCCACGTTACGAGCCAAATTAAATCAGTCTCCCTCTGGCACGTTAAATTTCTACGGAATATACATTTCGTTGAGCAAAGATTCACTTTATGAATTTTCTTAGACGTGCTCGTCAACCTCATCTCTCTACTATTTTTTCTTAATAAATAAGCAAATCTATGTTATTTATTTTCATCGTATACCTGCGAAATCTCTGTAAATTAGTCGGTGACCCAGAAAACATTCTCAACGCGAGAGGGTTAAATTGTAAAAGTTTATGGCTCACAATGATGTCTCACGGAAATAAAGGAGCTCAGGGTATTTAAGCTTAAGGTGAAGCGCGTCGCGATGCATGCTGGGAGCCAGAGGGAACGGTCCAGGCGCACTTAGCCTCAAGTATTAGGGATTGAGGGAGGCAAGAGTTCCGGGATCTACATACTACACGTGTATGCGTTGCGTGTATATATATATATATATATATATATATATACCTGAGAAGTTGCATCGAGGTTTGTGATTATTCTGGCAAACCGACCGGAGTATTAATTATTCATAATACGATAGCCAACGTGAATAGCATCTTGCCGGAATAGTTGGCTGATGATTTCGAGCAACACCAAAGGAAGACAAGTCGAGAGCAGATCGAGACTCTAGTTAAGAAACAGCCAAGAGCTGAATTATGAACCAAGATTGAAATTTAGACGTTGGCTTTTAATAAAGAAATTATTAAATAATTACGAGAGTTGAAAGTTGCCTGTAGATGTCCCGAGCTTTCATCGTTCTTGGTGAAATATTGAAATGAAGTCGGTGATGCAGCTCGGCTGAAGGAAGTAAAGGGAGCTGGGATAGTTCATGGGGTTGATGGTCGGAGCAGCAATCCCAGGTGATTCGCAGACGATTTATCAATAGTTCCACAGTGCTAATTATTCGTGTACACGGTTCTCTAGGAAGTTAAATCAAATTTCTTTATGCGGTTGGATTCTTCTTTTTTTTGGTATCGAGAACGTTTTCTTTCTTTTAAGTTTTTGCTGAGCCAGCGAAGTCAATCGTACGGAAGTACGAAAGTATTACTGCCGAAGTTTTATAGATTTTGTGGTGCTGGGGTCAAAGGGACTTTCGGTTAAGTTCACCAGCAACGAAAACGGGCTCTTGCCTGGGAATTCTTTGGTATTTGTGAATTCACACGAAACTTCTGGGGAAATTGCCAAAATTTTTTGGCACTTTATTTTTTTTTTTTTTTTTTTCTAAAAGCAGTTCATGTTCTCCTATCTATTCGATAGTCGATCAAGATCATTTTTATCGAGTCGAAAACATTCGTCTTGCTGTGCATCGTATTGTTGATAATTTAGTTTTACCTCACAATGGTCCGAGAGACCTTGTTGGACTGTGATACCTGATTTTGACATTCGATATATATTTCCTCGTTGTACGCATTGCGTGAGGCTAAGAGTGGATCCTTTGCTTGGACATGGTTGGTATTGATGAAGGTTTTACGCAACAAACGCTCACCGTTCGGATGCAATTTTTCTTCCACCCACTCTACGGGGTTCTCGTGAATTTATGGTCGGAGTTACTCCTCTCCCTTATACCAATCGTAATTTCGATCCACCTTCAGTCGGTACACAGAGTCAGAGGCGGCACCAGGGATTTGCCGGATTAGTACTGAATCGTCAATCATTTGTGTCTCATCGAAAGAGCTCTCACGCAATTTCGCAATCCTTACGCCTCTCATTGGACTTGTTCCTTCGGTTATTCGATAACAAAAAAATAAATGAGACACGGAAGGAATACTTTTCGAAACGATATTTTTATATTAGGTTGGAACGTAACCTGAAAACTATCTCGACATTAGTCTCAAACTTTAGCTGTTGGAAGTTTCTACGAGTGCGGGTATAAGTACTAGCTTGCGTGTCCAGGGCGGAATTATATATTGATTAAAATGGTATTTACTCTCGAGGAAAAATATAACGAAAAGTTTCTATAAAAAAATTGTCATACTATTATGTACCAATCTAATGGTAAACGTGATACCAAGGTAAAGGAGTGATTAGATTGTTCGAGAAACGTCATAGTAAGGAGTCACTCGTGACATGACAATGTTATTGACTTCCATCGAAATTAATTATTAATTCTAATGTTTTTGCTTTCGGGAATAATCAATAGAGTCGTTGTTAGGTACGGTATTCTCATTCAGTGAGATAGTATGTATATATATATATGTATACACAATTTCGTTAATGTCATGTTGTATATATATAATACTCAGCATAACATTAACGAAATTGTCTTATCGCACATAGCGGAAATTCTGAAGATAATTTCTGAACGTTATAAAGGCGTCCGAAATATATCGTTAGGAAGCCGAAATCGCGTGCAAAGGATTTGAAATAAGGTCTGCCGACAGAATCCTGGACACCATGGGGCGAAAAAGGACGAAGAAAATAAAGGATTGATGAGAGTCCAAGGAGGAAGAGGGATTCGGAATCTCCGTGTGATAAAGAAAAGAATAGCTAGGGCAGATGTTTCCTTATGGCTAGTAAATTTTCATGTAATGCCGCAAAGAAAAATCATATCGCGATCGCGTGTTTCCGACAATTTTCACTTTAATCGTAAGATTCCAGCCAGTTGCACATCGATGCCCTAAATCATACGTAGTGCGTCAGCCATCTGGACCCTGCATGGCTTCGTTGCTGGCCAATCAATAAATTTTGAAACATTCGAGTCCCGCCGTTATGCACGTGTGCCGATAGTAACTCCCTCTGCGGGACTAACAGGCCGATTGCGAAGTGACGTTTGTTTTTCCAAAAATGCCTACATGTGTGTATACTCATTTGACCGTGCATATTGGGTGACGTATGATCGCGGTAATAAATTGTAGTCGGTATATGGACGCTGGTAATTTTTTTGGGAAAATATAAAAAAAGAACAGTAGTAATTTAGTTTCGAACCGGTTAAAGAAAATAGGCACAGTTACTGTTATTTACATTATGGGCATTAACGTATAGGTACGTTTTCACCCATGTACAAAATTCATTACAGTTCCAGTTTCTGTACTTTTCCCATTTGGTTCTCGGTAAAATACAAATAATTTTCTTAACCTTGTTGGTTCCCACCGAAAGTTACCCCGTTCGCGTGTTCCGTGTCGCGACTAACGCGAGCGAATATTGTCGAGAAATAACGGGTGTACCGATCGATGCCATTTTCCCTAAACGCAGCTTGTCGACTAATGACATTTTGTTGTGAAATGGCAAAAGACTCAGTGGGAACTTTCGTGCGTCTAAATGTCATCAGCGATTATTATGAAATCGTCCACGTGGATCGTAATTAATGATTTTTTACTGGTAAAAGTTCAACACGATCGACTGTCCCACAGAGAACCTGCAGTACGCGTCATAGCACGCGAATCGATTGTTCGTCGCAGTATCGTCCGACTGTCGTTCTCATGAGTACCAGTCGATATGAAAAAAAAAAAAAAAAAAAAACCAGCAGTACGCGTCATAGCACGCGAATCGATTGTTCGTCGCAGTATCGTCCGACTGTCGTTCTCATGAGTACCAGTCGATATGAAAAAAAAAAAAAAAAAATAACCAGCAAAAGTCTAGTATAGAAGCTCGAAAGGACGATTGAGTAGCTGGTAAAGTAGATGGGATGTAAAGGGTACGAGTAGCGGTTTGACGTACGACGATTCAATCAACACAGCGTATTGTCAACGTCGCGACGGAGACGTCAGGCGTCGACGGATATCCGCGGGGTGGCGATATGAAAAATGATACCTGACGAGAATAGAACCCGACGGAATGCTTTCTCGCGTGTTACATATATATAGGAAACTGCCAGCAGGTATCTCTCGGTGGCACGTAGCGAGGCTGCCGAGGAACAGGGTGATTCGCGAGAGGAAGTCTTCCCTGAGCATCATCCATCAGGACTGCCTGATGTGTGAGCGGGATTAATCCAGTGTCGCGAGTTCAATCCGTAGAGTTTTTATCCGGAGACGGTCACACGCAGAGAGCTGTTTCGGCGAGAATGGATAAGTTTGAATGTCGGGAAAGATCCAATAGGGATGCTGGTTACGGCGAAGATCATTTTTTAGATGAGACAACCCGTGGCGTTCAGAAAGGTAGATCGTCTTCCGTATGGGAAAAAAATTTGTTGGATGAGTCTCTGGGTTAGATTAGAAAATTCTCTTGCGTCGGTACAGTCCATCCTAAAATTAATGGTAGAGTCGAAATTTACGTTCGCACGAACGAGGGTCACACTTCGAGCGTACAAGTGCAATGAACATTCGACGGTACGCCGGTTGTCTGTTAAAGCTGTTTCCGACCGAGTGCCGATTGGCGGTTGTTTGAACAACCAGTAGAATTGTAGTTTGCTGGCTGGTAGCACGTGACGTTTGATCGCCGGTGTAAAAGGTTAAACCCCTGGCTAACTAGCAAAGCAGGGGACGCAATGATTACACGGGTGGTACTACTGGGAAGTAATTTAGCGAGCGTAGGAGTTGGACCAAATTCAAGCAACCCAAGTCATTCGGCCGGCCGCGTCCTCTGGATTCTCGAAACTTTCACGGTACAGATAGATAGTTATCCTGACGGTCTCGGATAACACAGCAAATTAACCCGCAGGATTAACCTTCGACCTGGGTCGCGCTCTGTCAATTCCGTCCTAACGTTATCGCGACAATTAATAGCGCCGTCATTTAGTTTATCGCGCAGTCCCGGTCACCGGCTGCAATTCGCATCACGCGCTTCCGGTTATTCGGAAATCTCCTTCGGATAATTTATAACCTTGTTTACAACCCCTGCCAAGGGACTCGTTGACTGTATTACAAGTCCATGAAAAATTTCCATCTGCAGTTAAGACATATCCTATTCCGATTGATCTCCTGATTACAGAGGTGAACCCACCTCTGTAATGACCTAGTGCCGAGCTCCACCTTGTTCCAATGACACCGGGTTAACGAGCGACTGAAATATCGATCAGTCAAAGTTTTCACGAGGTGCTTAATTCACACGCCCTTTCGTCACGGTCCTCCAGGATCGATAGAGTCCAAGTATTTCCGTTCCTTTTTTTCCTCGCTGATTACCCGTGGAAATTATTACGTGACACGCGACACTCAATTGGAGGAGGCCCACGTCCACTGGAACGGAAGTGCTCGAGCCGTGTCATTTCTCATGGCAGCTCATGACTTTTCTCTTCTTCGCCAGGATATCGTAGGAATTAAGGGACTTCCTGTAGCCTATCACGAAAAGGGTATTAGGGTACACAGAGACTGACGTACGGTGGAAAAAGCTGCTGCTGGATACCGTAAGTCTCCAGGATTTCGGGGATGCCGCAGAGATCGTGATATTATTCAGCTGAACGTGGATTTTACTCGGGATCAAGTCTTACCGTATACCAAAGACAGTTGCTGTTAAGCATTTCAAATAGGAATCAATATCAACACTTATCAATGAATGTATCGACCAATTCAAAAAGTTACTAAAGGTCTTGCGATATTTCTCATAAAAAAGTGATTACGAAGAAAATTTCTGTAATTCAACATACTCGACCCCAGAAGTACAAGCATTTCCACGAATCTACCTGTAACGACAAAGTTAGGTTATACTCGAAAATTTCTGAAATGAATAAAATGGTATTCCATGCAACTGTTTGGATCTACGGTACCTACATTGTAGTGCAAATTAAAAAATTTTTAATTTTATAAAAAAACCTGCATCGTAATCGCATCCCGAAATTTCCCCGTAGCCAAGGCATAACAGCACTGCTTTCCACCACAGTCCGATATGAAAAATTCGAATATTCTCTTGTTAAGTAATATGAAAATAATAATAATTAACACAAAAGAAAAATAATTTTTTGAAAACCCTCAAAGTACTTACAATCCCTCAAAGCATGCACTTTGGTGCGACACTCGAAAGAAAAACCAAAGTTGCTTTGACACGCAGGTTATTGCCATAAACTCACTCTAACCGACTAACCAAAAAGTGGATGTACAAGTTGCCTAAAGATTTTCATCATGGAGCCCTGGAGCAGGTCTATCTTCAGAAAAGGTAACGAACTGTTTGACAATACGAAAAGAAGTGCAAGTTGCACCAGGTAGGCAACTGCAACGTCACGGACAGAAATAATTACTGGTGCAATTCGCAGTGTTGGTACACAAAGGCACGCCTTTCCAGAACTCCTCTGGCCGTTGCACTCGGCGTATCCTTCTTCCTCGTACAATTTAACTCTCATCGCACCGGCTAAGGTGAAATCATTTAAATCCGTTTCCCCCACTTTAACATCCCACGTCGTTCTTTGAGGGTTTAACGTATAATAATCGCCCGTGACTTTGTCAATTTCCTTCCGGTAATGAGATGCACCGGGGAAACCCAACTGCACCTCGTTCAATACCGTCGACCGAGGTACGGCGAATAATAACATTACGTACGTAGTTCTCTGCATGTACACGGATACCTTAATGCATTTCTGCACCACGCAATCTGCACTTCTCTGCGCTACTCTAAATATACCTGCACTAGGTTGCAGTTTCAAAGGAGCCTGCTAAGACGTTGTGCATCGTACCGGCGAACATAGAATCGTCGGTCCCTTTGCTATTCACTTTGGTGCTTGCCGAAGACAATCAAACGCACATGCTTCGTATTTTGCATATTCTAGCGAAGCTGCACGCCCGCGAGGCTAGTTCTGAATTCAATGTAAAATATACTGATAAAGGATTGCGCTGCGATGGTATTTCAACGTTGAGTCGAGTCTGTGGCAAGAATCACGAGGAGTGAGCCGACTTCAGAAAAATGGGTCGACTTTAGACTTTGACATTGCAAATGAAATATTCCGGGTAAGATTCTTAATGAAGACTTTTAAGAATTCTTAGTGCATGTGCGATTGAATGTACTGTACCTTCAATAGAAATGCATCTTGGTGTCGTTCTGGAATTTTCTATAGCGATGCGACTGGTGCCAAAGGAGGGTAAGAGGGTGAGTGGTAAAAAAAGGGTAAAAGAATATCTAAAGAGAGAGAGAGAGAGAGAGAGAGAGAGAGAGAGAAATAGTATATCATTCCGATTTGCATTGGACGAATGCTTAATTAACACGCGACGAAGGTAGTTCGCGCATCGTTACGATCCTTATTATACGATAGAGCATCGAGGCTCTGACTTTGAGCTTTCGCGTATACGTATATACAATTCTGACGTAAGAGTGACTTATTTCAAAACATTTCATCCGTAGTGCTACGCTATGCGGTGAAAATGACGTAAACCAAGATTTTCTTCATATTCTTTATTTTTTTCATTTACCCACCGATTCGAAAGGCAACTTGACTATAGTTATTATCGTTAAGCTCATTCACTGTCTTACAGTCTGAACGCGTAAGCGGCGACGTACCTTCGAACAATCTTCGCAAGTGAAATCTCTATGGTGCTTTTCAGGTGGCGTGGCTTCGCGTCGACACGCAGACTATTCTAACGATAGCGAGTCACGTTATCACGAAGAATCACCGGATCGCGGTGACGCATAGCGGGCATCGTACGTGGTCCCTTCACATAAAGGACACGCGAGAGACGGACAGGGGTTGGTACATGTGCCAGGTCAACACCGACCCGATGTCAAGCAACACTGGCTTCCTCGAAGTAGTTGGTAAAACCAGTTAAAAGTATAAGATGAAACAAAATTAGACTAAAGATTCAATGTTAAATAAGACGTAGAACGATAAAGATGCCCGAACGCATTCAAAGTATGAAGGAAGAGAGTAAACGTTGCGTTATTAAAATTGTAACGTCGATTTACTCACTGATATATTAAAGAAAAAAAGCAAAATAGCCATTACAATGTAAATTGCGGGGTAAACTTGTTTCCCAAGCCCAGGTTAAACTTTCCATCCGGAGTAAACTCGAGAATCAAGTTCCCGGGGACGAGGTTGGCCCAGTAAGCCTTATCCAAAAGGAGATCAAAGATTATTCCTGGGATACCGGGTTTTCGAGTTTCCGAGGTCCTGAATTGGCTCGTGTCCTCTTGGCAATTCTCTCGAAGTGCCACCGGAGGAAAATGACAGTCCATTTACCGGAAGGAGGTTATTAGCTTAAAATTTCCCCCGGAGGAGCTTCCCGCGTGTGTTACCGATTCGCTATACAGAAGTTACCGAGCAAACGTGCAAAAAGCAACCAGGTTGGATTTTAACGGCAGTAAAAAAAAAAAGGGTGCGCATCCTGCAGGACCGGCCAGGTTTTTCTGGCTCAGTCGATCTTTGACGATACCATGCAAATATATGTAAAGCATACTCCGGGCTGGAGTGCCTACCGTGATTGCACTCTTGGAGGGCTATTAAACACCTTCCTGGCGACGTGCCCCTAGCGCTAATAACCCTTACCCTGTGGGCTCATCCCCCAGTCCTCTGTCTCACTCGGACTCGTATTAGCCCTCGCATGCTCTCTGCTTTCCACCACCTGCCGCAAGCGGCGTCGGTCGAGTGTATAAACATGGCTTAACCCCGGGGCGAAACCCCTCGTTAAATTCCTCTTTATCATGCACCGGAGAATTGCAAGCGCGAGGCTATCCAGGCGTGAAAATAAGAGATCGGTCAGGGTTTGCGATAGGATCGTGCTTTTTGTTATGGGAAATGACTGTACACGGAACATTGTTGGATGGGGATAGCCATGGACACGTTATTCCCAGTCGGTGCAGTCGACGTAGAAAACTCTGAGTGCCGGCTCATAAAGCACTGTCGCGTGACCGTGCGAACTAATAAATCTAACGCAATTGTTTTCCCGTATCAATAAATAGTATACGGCTGAATGTGGTTTTTGTTTTTCGATGAAAACTCGAGTAGCCAACGTAGGAATGGATCGCACGTCCGGTAAACTTTGACGGAGTTGCACTTGATATGGAGTGAAAAGTCATTTTTCATTTTCTAATCTTTAGTCTAGTTTTCGGTTAAAATATCATCTTTTCTGTTTTTCCACAGAAGTCGTTTTCTCGCGTGATTTTTTTTTCATTTAGAAATCCATTACAAAATTACTCTTACGCTGCCCTCTGTAGTGGATAATTTTTTCAGTTTTTCTTCGCTTCCGTATCTCCACTCCAACCAAGTACCAGGATCCCGACACCCTTTACGGGGAGGTTATAAACATTGCAAGAGTCCTTTGTCTTCCGGACACGTTCGTACAGATATTTCCCAAAACCACGTCATCCTGTTTCCTTCTACCGTTTTGTCGCTACCCTAACGATTTTAGGGATCGTCGAATAGCAGACTCATTCCCAAGCAGAATTTCCTACCCGGGGATGCTGACTCCCAAGACTGAGATTTTTTTTCTTTTATTCGCAGATAATCTGGCTACAGGTAGGGTAAGGCAACTTGACTATAGTTACGAATGAATGAAATATCATCATGAAATATCATAATGATCATCTTTAACGTACCTATTCTCAAGGGTGAAACTTTACGACAGTCCACCTCATACGTATTCGCATAACAAACTCTGGCGCATTATTTCTCTCTGCTACAGCACGATCCTGATATCTATCCGAGTAACAGGCTTTCATATAGGGTGGATGTCCCCGTAACGTTGCTATTGTTTCAGTGCCTCCGGACATCCTGGACGATCCCACCAGTACGGACATGGTCGTTCGCGAGGGTAGCAACGTCACGTTACGTTGCGCTGCCACAGGAACGCCTGAGCCGACTGTCACCTGGCGTCGCGAAGCTGGTGGTACGATAATTCTGTCAAGTTGGCACGAAGGTAGGATCAACAAAAATTGTATAAACTACACGTGACATTTTAAAAGATTCTTCTTTACTGGATAAAATAACATTTCTCTTCTTGGACGTGTACCACTCGGTATTATACTATACCGTTAGAGATATAAGTACTCAATTTTTTTTAACGTTTGCTAATAATATCAGATTAGCGAAAATGCGATTTGCCTCGTTAGAAGAGAAGCGCATTTAAAACGATCAAAGTGAAAAAAAAAAACCTATCAAGCAGGTAAACGCTGACTTTTCCCGAGACAGAAAATTACGGGTACTTTCCTTACAGGATTTATCAGGCACGAGATCATTTTTATGGAGAATTGAATTATTGATTATATATATATATATATATATATTTTCTCTCTTTTCATCAGCCGGTCTTCATATTGCACGTAATCAGTCATTCATTCTCCCCCGTATGATTTTACGTTTCAATTACCCGGGGACCAATCTTTTATTACCCGAGGCGTCTTTGGTTAGCTAAGCTCAGTAGATACGTATTACGTCGACCCAGTTGGACGAGCCTTGTTGACTGATTAAATGCGTGCAGAAATTTTTGGTGACGGCCGCCATTGTACCAAAACTCAAAAGATCCTTCGAGTTCTCCCCAGGAAGGACGAGAACGTATCGAGAGGGTGCAGGGACGTGAAATATTTTCCCTCTCGAGAGTAAGTGCATGTTAGGGGCTCGATAAGGGGAATAAGGCGCCGAGTGTGGAGCATATCAGAGAAGCTCTGGAGTGTTGTCAGGAGTACGAGAGATTGGCAAAGGGGGCGAAGGGGAGGCGAGGGAAGAACTCAAAGGAGTAAAGTGAATCGAGGGAGATCCCTGTGATTTATTCAGCATTTAAATATTTTATCTTTGGCGCATCTTTCGAAAAATCGCATTCAACACTTGTCGCGTATCCCATGCACTGAATCCTTATAGGGACTGGCGGCTGTGTTTCCATTATGGGTAATCAGCGTGAGAAATAAAATATTCCCTGGCACATTTCGGCCTGGTAACGCACCGTTCCTCCGTCGGGAGCGGACTAAGACATTAAGAAGCAAATGGAAAGGAGAAAGAGGAAAGAGAGAAAACAAAAGTTTCTGTTTCCCGTCAGCCGCGTGTAAAGTCCCTTCCGAGCTCGCGTTCGCCGGCTGCTACGATTTCATGGTGGAAACGCATTTTCGCCAGATTAATTCTCAACAGGTGTCCTCGGATGTTTGTTTCCCGTACGAAGCGAGACGTTCTTCTTAAGAAGGATCCATTATTCTTCATGAGAAGCTACGAATGGCCTTCCATTACACCATCGCCTCAGCCTCGTCCCCCTACCCCCCCCGCCCCTCCGCCCATTCGTTGCGAATAGGATGGTTCTTTGTTCCTTTTTTTTTTTTTCCATTTCTCCTCCACCCCGACTTCAACTTACCCCTAAATCAACCCCTGCAGTTTTCTCGTTTACTTTATGCCTTCGTCAGCCGTAACGATCGTGTCGCGAACCGACTGTTGAAACTGAACGGAATCGTCCTTGCAAATGTTCCAGTGGCCAGCATCGAGGGTCCCGAGATGGAGATAATACGTGTCACGAGATTGCACATGGGACCATATCTCTGCATAGCGTCGAACGGTGTACCACCTACAGTCAGCAAGCGAATTGTTCTGGTTGTTCATTGTAGGTACAATTTGAATTTTCATATTTTCATACACGTATAACGTAGGCGCGCGTGTACTCCACGTGTGACGTTTCCGGTTTCACGAAACGGTTAATGCCGCCGCTTGAGGTAGACGTAGCATTTCAATGGGAGGATCTTTAGAGGCATTGTTTCGCGAAATAAAAAAATTAGGTCCTGGACATTCTACCGTTGTTCGGTCTCTTATCTCCTCATTTCATTTTACCAACCGTCTTCCCTCGGGCACTTTATATTCGCGACGGAAAAAGGTCCCTGAAATTTTGGGATATGGATGCCAAAACTACCGAGGGAGCCGAAAATTCCCTCGCAGGGATCTCGAGAGCGCATATCAATATTTTATCAAGCGTTTTGTCAGATATATGATTTTTTTTTTTACGTCGCTGCAACCACCTGAAACTCATCCATTTATTATCCGGGTACAGTCTCAAAAATGTCGTTGTGCTTTTTTTGTGTCGTCCTGGCTAGTTATTGCCTCTCCTATACAGACACGACCATCTATCAGGATAGGCACGAAGCAATGTAGCTTCGGGATTATACACCAAAAGCCACGTTATCTATTCATATTTTACCACCGCGACGGACGCGAAAAATCGTACAAACGCGAGCTTTGGGAATACGTTGATTAACGTACTACCAAAAAAAGCTCCCTGTCCGTGACCCCTACTTCTTTTTTCCTCAACATTTTCAAAAGCTTCAAACGGCATTATGCGACTTCATTCGTACCAGACTCACGCGTCTGCCCGTTTCTCACAGTCATTTTCAAAGCTTCTCATTGATTCGCCGCAACACGACAAGTCTTTGATTCTAAGATTAATCGAAACGTCCCTCCATCGACAGTTCCGCCAATGATACGGATTGAGAATCAGCTGGTAGGTGCTTACGAGGGTCAAACAATCGTCCTGGAGTGTCACGGCGAGGCCTATCCGAAGCCAATAACCTATTGGACGAAGCCAACGAACGATACCATCGTAAATGGTTAGTATGAGCTTGCATTAATTTTTCATTAATTTTTCATTCATTTATTCGCCTAACCGCGCGACGCGCGATGGTTACTCGTCGCCACTTGGACACAGCCAGTGGATGATGTCGGCTGTGCGGGGAATCGTTAGGCCGCGTTGAGCTTTAATTGCCTCCCGGCCAAGGTTAGCCCTGCAAGCTCAGTGGATATTAAAGGTATTAATGCGCGCAAGGCCTGGCCCTTTTCCAGCAACACCTGTCCGGCACCTTGAGCTTTAATTATTTCAGTAGGGATCTCGAAAAGCGGCACTGTAATCAGGCCCTGGAGCTTTTACGAATTTCATTACTTATTACTAAACATCAAACCGGACGGCGTTTCTTACAGCCCTTACTCTTATAACGGGCAATACCTCAAAGCTCTAATAGCGCCTATGCTTTATTCCCTTCACGTCGTATTAAAAGCTTTACAAAAATTTATCGACAAACTCATATACAGTAATGCGCAATTGAAGTGGAACACTTGAATTTTTGTGTATCTCTACGAAACTATGACCGATTTAAAAAAACCAAAAATATATTTTTTAGGAAATTTCCTTCCCGTTCGAATGGTAAAAGTTTTATCCCGATCGGATACAAAATGGCCGAATGGCAGGGGTTGGAGTGAAAAAGTGCATTTTTGAACTTTTTGAAAATTTCGAGATCTAGTAGTTCCGGAAGGAAATTTATATTTCTAATCAGGGAACGAGAGAGAGCATCCTTCGGCAATAAAAAAACACCCCCATTGAACCCCTGTAGGATCACTCTAGGGGGAGTTACACCCCCTTGAAGTGAAAACACTTAAATGGCCATAACTTCCGAACGCGCCGGCCAATCTGGTCCAGTTTCTGTGTGATATCATTTTTAATGATACTGCAGATTCTCACAAAATTATTGTTCTCGGAGATGATCCCGTGACAGAGATCTCGAGATTTCGCAAGCGCGCCCGAAGCTTCCCCGCTATTTTTCATAAGGAAAGCGATGAAATAGAAGTTTCATTTTCATCCACGTTGTAGCTGAGATTTCAACGATTAAAACGCGCTTTTAAACATCCAAATACGAGTACGCTAAGGGGTTACATTTTAATTTGAAAAAACGCCTAAATTTTGCGAATTCCGCTCGAGGCGCTCGGGGGACAAATGCTTGGCGCGCGTGGTAGGGTACTAGTCCCCCGAGCGCCTCGAGCGGAACTCGCAAAATTTAGGCGTTTTTTCAAATTAAAATGTAACCCCTTAGCGTACTCGTATTTGGATGTTTAAAAGCGCGTTTTAATCGTTGAAAACTCAGCTACAACGTGGATGAAAATGAAACTTCTATTTCATCGCTTTCCTTATGAAAAATAGCGGGGAAGCTTCGGGCGCGCTTGCGAAATCTCGAGATCTCCGTCACGGGATCATCTCCGAGAACAATAATTTTGTGAGAATCTGCAGTATCATTAAAGATGATATCATGCAGAAACTGGACCAGATTGGCCGGCGCGTTCGGAAGTTATGGCCATTTAAGTGTTTTCACTTCAAGGGGGTGTAACTCCCCCTAGAGTGATCCTACAGGGGTTCAATGGGGGTGTTTTTTTATTGCCGAAGGATGCTCTCTCTCGTTCCCTGATTAGAAATATAAATTTCCTTCCGGAACTACTAGATCTCGAAATTTTCAAAAAGTTCAAAAATGCACTTTTTCACTCCAACCCCTGCCATTCGGCCATTTTGTATCCGATCGGGATAAAACTTTTACCATTCGAACGGGAAGGCAATTTCCTAAAAAATATATTTTTGGTTTTTTTAAATCGGTCATAGTTTCGTAGAGATACACAAAAATTCAAGTGTTCCACTTCAATTGCGCATTACTGTATACATATCCCACCTATCCGCGTGCACGTGCTATAACGTTCGGGTAGACGTTACACGTGTATTAAATGGCGCGCGAAAAGTTTCATTACGTTAAAGTGGCGCGAGACTTAAATAGGCTGTTTTATTGCTGCCAGGTTAGCCGGGCGTCTTTGGTTATCCACAGCAACGCGATACGTTCCTACGTTGGGCATTATGGAAAGAAGGCTAATAAAAAGGAATTAGCTGCTCTTAGCCAGACTGAAGGCGTAAACTGCATTCGTGCACAGTTGACCCATATTCCGTTCTTCCTCTATTAGTCAAGAACCGGGTATACTCGTTGGGGGCTGGAATGCTCCTATTTTCCTACTCGCGTATAAAACTACGACTGTCACAGGCAGTACTGGTTACAGCGTGTCTATAGTGCTTACGAAGATCCATAACAGCGATAGCGTTTCTATTTTACTTTTTACAGATAACAACTATAGGGTCGAGACAGTTACCATGGGTTACAAGAGTATCATGAGACTGACCGTAAACTCGGTGAGAGCACAAGATTTCGGAGCGTTCAAATGTGCCGCCACGAATTCCCTGGGCGAGACCGATGGAAAGATTAAAATATACAGTAAGTCGTTTTTTTGGAATCGATAAGTATTATCAACCATTGGTAAACATCGTCATGTATTATATATGTAGTTTTGATAAGTCAATGATATATGAAAATAAAATGGTACATACTAGGTACTTGTAATCGTACGATTTCATGGTCTTGAATAATAGACGAGTACATTGGTGAAATTGAAATTACAAAGAGAATTTGAATTACGTATTTCAATATCAATTGATATTTTCTGTTAGAGGTCCCGTTTCCCCCTTTAATTGTACTTATGTAAATAGAAATTTGGCGTTCGGCTATTTCGGGGACGATTTCATTAAAGTATTGGCTATTTTGAGGAAACGTCACTCCTTTGAGATCTCTCCTCAAAGACTTATCGGCGTAACGGCTGTTTTGAGGGTTATAGAGGGAGGTGTCACACCAAATTTTTTCAAATTTTTTTTTCAATGCCAGACACCCGCAGCTGTGATGGGCTTAGAAAATTTTTCGTTAGGTCAAAATTTCAATCCTGAAATGTCCTAAGGTAGTTTTTTTTTTTTTTAATTAGCTCGCTATTGTGAACGTCCCTTTATGTTTCCTGTCCTCAAACTGTTCTATCGACCACATTTATATATTTGACTCTAAGGAGATTCGGCCTCCCACGTCTAGTACGTATGTCACGCATGCCTGTGTACCCTTCTATCCCCATTACGTAGGTGGTTAATCAGTAATTGTCACAGAGGTGTGAGCTTGCACATTATTTTGCGCCCGTGCACTTAACGTCACAACAAACCAGCAGGTCACGTGGGAAAGAAGGTTCGTTGGATTTGGTCTCCCTCGTTAGCTAATGAAACTACGGCACAACGGTGACTTCCGAATGAGAGGGAGTGCGACAGAGCGAGATGGCGAGACCGGGTGACAGAGCGAGAGGAGCTGGTCTGGAGGTTCGAGAAACGTCACGTGACACGTCACTGTGTTACTCGAGCGTCTCTCATGCGCGCCAAGTGGCATGCGATGTAAAGCCACGTTCATTCAAGCCGTACATTATGCCTATTTACGGCTCTTGCGAGACTTTAATTGATCGCTCGCCTAATTAAAAGTTGGCGGTGGTTCGTAGAAATTGTTGGATTCTTCGAAAGATTCTATTGAAAGTGGCACAAGGGTCGTTGCTGCCGTTGCAGCTGCAGCTGGCTGGGATACAATGCCGCAGTCGTCGATTGTAAATATATTCCGCGCTGATATACTCGGTCCTTGATATTCTTTATTATTGGTAATCACTTGGCGATGACTTTTCAGAGTTTCATTAGGCGGCTGTATATGGATTTAATGGCAATTTCAAGGCTTGGCTTGCTAGTCGGTTCAATGTAAATAATAAAGTTAAGTGCGATTGTACTTCTGGTTAACGTCGAGATGGTTGGCTTGATTGTTCCCTCTTAAAATCAGTTTAGCTCGTTAACGCTAAGTAAGTGCCACCTAATTAGGAAAATAATTAGGTATTATTATCATGACAAGTTGATATCGTCTATACGTCATTACGCATAGGAGTAGAACGAATTTCTATTGATTTCTAAATGTCGTGTATGTAAGATTTTTGTTTTATCATTATTATTATTCACTTTGTTTTCTACCCTCATTTTCGTCTCGTCTCCTTGTATCGTTCTAATATTCGTTCACGGGCTTCCTGTCGCTTTTTAGCTCCCCAGTGCATCACGGGTAACCAACGTGCTACGGTTTTGTGAAACGTCACGTGCAATCCCGATACGTCATAGCGCCGATCACTCTACGAAAATATTTCACTCGACTGATCATTCTCGGGATACGCGTTCCTCTTTTCAATTGCGGTTCGCATTTCAATTTCTTGGTTTTTTTTTCCTTGGTTCCCATTTCCATTCGAGATGATTAAAGATAGTTTCCGGAAAGGTCCATACAATCCCATCCGTTGGTAGGTGTCTTTAGAAAATTCGAATTCTCTATTCATACCAAAACTTTTTATTCTCCCATTAATTTCAATTTAAAGAACAAATAAGTATATATATATATATATATATATATATATATATATATATATATATTTCTGTAAATTTCTTTTTGTCCCAGGAATCACAGCACCGTCAACAACGCGACGTCCAAACGCCAGAAGGGATTCGAAGAAATTATGGAAAGGCGATAGCCCTCATGAAAAAGAGATTGCCGGTAAGGAAGAGGATGCGATTTCCGTGGATGAAGAAATCGACGAAGAGCCAATAAATTTTCATTCATCGACGGCCTCCTCCATATTTCATCGACACTTTACGAATCTCGAATCGCTTGCGATGACCATCCTCTTTCGCGTCGCCTTAAGGCTATTCTCATAGAACTGCCAATACCCGAGACTACGCACCCCCGTATACGCGGTGCCGTTTTAAATCGTCCGCGCGCGATAAATTAAATGGATTGAAGGATGTACGAAGCCATATTGCAAACCAAGCCAGTGTCCATCATCCAATTAGCGTGGGTGATTAAGGTATTGGGAAGATGAGTGAGGTATCTCTCCGTCTCTCTTCCCTCGCTATCGAGTATTATCAATTGAAATCGATATCTCGCAAATCGACTTATCCTTAATTATCGGCCGATAGGAACGTGTCAATCAACGATTCCGTGACGTGAGAATTCGCGACTCACGTATAAAATGTCTTCCAGCGCGGAAATTGGATAAAAGGATTAAAGACTCGATGTATCGAAGCAGATAGCGAAAATACTCAAGTGTAAAGATTGCACGGGTCCTCCGAGGGCTCAACCGAGGGACAGCAGAGGAGCGAAAGTAACCCGATTAATATCGTCAGGGAGCGATCGTAACAATCGTCAAAATCAAACGATAATCAGTGGCGTGCTCCTAGGACATTTTCCCTTTTGTTTCAAGCTGCAGTAACTGGCAGTAAATCCTTTTCACCCGATTACGTGGTTTCAGTTTATTCAAGGCTTTTCGCCATTAACGAAGTGTAACCACGCGAGTGCCTAAATTGGCATTTCGCGGTTCAATAGCAGGCAAATCCATTTCGTGGATTTTAAGAATTTTAAGCCTACGTTTCTCCTCGACCGTCAAGTTTCGAATGTATCGAGGGAATCGATCGTTTCAAATTACGTCTGCAGGGCTTTCAAAATAATCGGTCACAAACGCAATTTATGGCATTCGAAGTGGTTAAAGTAAATTTTTTTTTATGGTCTCGATTGATAAAGTAAAATCTTGGGTTACGTAATTCAATGTGTTGCTTTGACGAGAGATAGGCATTCGCCAGGGTGAATTGAAAATATTTCAATATTACTTTACTTCGAATTCACAGCGTATCGAGCAGGAACGTGTATTTAAAAAAAAAATGGGAAAAAACCATCACGAAAAGTCTTTGAATAAACGGGGAAAGCCATTTAGGATTAACCGAATGATAAGCGACCGTAGGGATTAGACTGATGGAGTTGAAATAAAATACTTGATCGCTTAACATCGTAGAATTGTTATCGACTGCTAGTCATACCGATGCGTGATAAGTTTTTTAATTGATTCGTCATTGAATGTAACTGTAATGACGTTTCGATCGTACTTATATTAATACAAATAATTTATTATGCAGCATTTCAATGTACTGTATATACGTAAACGTAAACGAGGAAAAATGTGGATCTGCCGTTAACTCGAGCAATGCTTAGTATTCGGGGAGCAAGAGATTGTAGTAGCAGTGACAAGAAATAGAGAAAAATTGACTGAGCCAATTAATAAGAATTATTAATGGCAATGATAAATTTTTAACAGAGTTCTCGTGATCGTTGTCAAAATTTCTTTTTCAAATACCAATTGTCACCTCGATGATCGCAGTTACACATTTTTCTACGTGTAGTTTTAACATTTATAGAGAAGATATCGATCGTCCTTTATGGTTAGAATCGAATTGTACAATATTTCATGTATGATATATAGAATTAAGCCTCAGGGACGTGTAAATATACAATTGTAACGTTAAGTATGTATCTTTAGGTTTTGCATTTGTAATCACGAAGACCTCAATGTAAATATGTCATACGTCATCGTATATTTGGGCAATAAATGGTTAGACAATCGTGAAAAGCATGTGGACGTTTTTTTACGTTGCAAATATATTATTGTTTTGAGAAAAATGAATACCATTATCGACAAAGCATACTTACTGGTCGTTTAGCCACTTCACAAGGATGTATAAGGAAAACAAACTTATTTTTTTCACTATCAATGTAGTAACGATCCCCTGTACCGTGGGTGCAGTCCATGTAAATTTACCTAAATTACAGAACTAATAGAATTTATCATTTGATGGTAAAGTATGAACTGTCGGAATAGTCAGATGGAGCGGCCGGAGCAGCTGAGCTTTCAGCCTGAGCCTACAAGTTTCGAAAGTCATCCGCGAGATGTCGCCACCGTAACAGAAAAACAGCTGTCAATCCTTGCGTAATTTAGCTAACAGACTCCAAAAACTTCTCCGTAAGACTGAACCAAAACTACGTTGTCAATGCTTTAAGTACGTGGGATCCTAACTAAACAAATATACATCACTAACGACTTCCTTTTCAGTCGATCACGATCAGGAAACAACGACCCAAGAAGGTACTCGACGTAAAATCTTCTTTTACCTACTCGCTTTTTCTTTTTAAAACGACAAAACCTCAAAAATGCCATAATTTTATTTTTCTTAGAGAACGAGTTTACGGAAACAAAGTATGCCGCATCAGGTACAGGAAGTTAGTAAATCTCCATGGTTCCGTGTTGAGTACGGTCGATATCGAACACAGGTCAGACAAGTGGGTATTAAACTCCGTAAGCTTAAACTTCCAGGTTCTGTCGTTGATACTCGAAGAAAATCTTAAAAAATTCCAAGAAGTCGCTAGCGACGTAAAGTTTGGAGTTGGATCGAATCCTGTAAAAAGATTCGTATCGTTCAGTAGCAAAGAAAACAACAGCACGAAGATAATCCCCGGCAGCACCGTATTCAACCACCCGGGCGCATACCTGGACGTTTTAAGAATTTACCTATTCTCTTTGTATAAAGTTTATACAATTAGAGTCTACAGCAAGGGTCCCAAGTATACACATGGTGTAACTTTCTCCTGGGTCCGATGAGCAAGCAGTCCAAATCAGCTGAGAGGATCCATCTCCTATTTATACTTGTCATAGGAATAATATTAACATTGCAGTGCAGCTAGCACACGTATCAACACCATATTCTAGTCGAACGAGATATCATTATAACAGTGATATGGGCTCCTCCTTCATAGGACCCTGGATAAGTTACATCCTGTATATAACTTTGAACTGGCAAATGGTAAAAGGATACGTTATGCTGTCCAGAGTGACCAAGACGTGATGTCACCATAAAGCGGAGGACAAGAAAAACGTGAAATTGAGAAAAAACAAAAGCGACAGAGGTTGCACAGCGATGAAGGTGAATTTAACGAGAAAATCATACCGAGGGAAAGCAAAACGTACGATTCGCATCCTGAAATTTTCTCGTAGACTGTATTATTCGTCGTGGTCGCTCGTCGTATGGCGATATGGCGAGTCTAGCCGGTTAGACGCCATGGCTCATATCACGTTCAATGTCTGCGGAGAATTGTGAAGTCTTGACGGTAACGAAGGCCGAATATAATAATGACGTTCTCGAAAGAATTATTATGGAAGTTGGAAGCCGACTTGGCTTGGGTAGGGACTGGGGGCAGTAGGTAGCGGTAGAGGGAAACGAGGTTGGAAAGGGCTTCGTTGCAAGCCAGCTCGTACATCACCACCTTGAATCCGTTTCGTGGGATGGCCGTAGAATGGAGGAGCTCCTGATAACAAAGGGCGCAAGCTGACTCGTTAAACAATATGGACGCTTCGTAAACAAACAAGTTTACCAACCACAAATATATTCAATTATACGCTACTGAAATTGGGCAGTATGACGAACTGGTGGGAGATAGGTTAAAAGTCGTAGGGAGCGGAGCAGAAGGTTAATGACGTAAAGAGACGAATCAGGATTTTAAGTACAAAGATGAAGGCAGAAAGTATGAGGGGTATGAACTTTGTGTGCTGTGGCATTTAGATTAAAGGAGTTGCCTATGAAAATTATTTACAGTTTCCATCTTCAATGGTAAACAGCTCAGGCTTTGATATTTCCATTAAATTTAAATTAAGACGAACTACCAGCTAAACATTGGTTAGGGAAACCAACACTCACTTTGGCACCGTTGAACCTTATGGAATTTACATACATACATCCTGGCCGTAATCACTTTGTCACCAGCTGAGAAAGTAAACTCCATCGCAAAGGAATACGAGGATTCCGATTATCATTGGGATTCGTGTTTCGCGAATTCAATTCACGGGAAAAGGGTCTTTGAGAAAGTTGCTACTCGCGAAAGTTCGTGCGATTCTTGGTAACGGTCTTTTGAGTCTTTTTTTTAAAAACCTCTCTTATAATCCTGCTCTCGTTACGGCGACGAGTAATATTTGAGTTTGGCGTAATTAATTTCACCGAAATACAGATGCAAAGTCACCAGACAACTTTTCATTTGGCTTTGGCAAGCCATCGGCGTGTTTTCACGTTGCTCAAGGAAGACACGCCGGAGCCCGATTTCCCTGTGGCTACGTGTCATTTCCGGCGCACCCTTTATTCGCTCTGCCCTGAACACGCGGTCGTCGGGCAAAACGTAAGGTAAATATAGCGAAGAAATAATTAAACTTCCCAACCGTGGATATACAAATTTAAGAGATACAAATTTAAACATTTTTTAAGAGTTTGTCCAGGGAGGCAGAGACGAAATTTTCAAAAATAAACAGACGCACGTGAAAACGCGGCTATGCACGTACGTTGAGAAAAAAGCAAGACTGTTCCCTTCTTGATTTGCAATTGAGACCAACCAATGGAACGTGAGTCGAGTGCAACGTGTATTTCAGCACGCATCCCTTTTCTCCCCGTCGTGGGAAACAATGTGTCCCCGTGTTCCTCCTTGTTATTCCTGCTAGTTTCCACCGTCATACACATATACGTTATACTGCGTTACGTAGACAACTCGGCCGTTTTCCCATGCGGCCTGTTATTCTAAGCCGGCGCAACGTTTCTACATTCCAACGAAGGATCCCTCTAATTTTAACTTAGGTTCGCCAATTTTTTTTTGTCCAGTTACGCTCTATTTCCGCGTTACGTTAACGACGCCACATTTTACGTCCGAGCGTACATATCACTTACAAACGACAAGAATACGGACTTGTACAGCAGATAACGACGTGCCTCCAGGCCACAATTCCGGAAGCGTCTCTTTCGCATGAAATATGGATTTTTTGTTTCTTTGGTAAGCAATATAACCAGGAAAACCAGCAACGCCAGCAACCCATCGAATATCACCGACCTATTCATATACAGGGAACGTGGTACTGCGTTTGGATAAATTGCCTGGACAATTTCTCAAGGGACGCGTAACAAGCCGTGAAACGAAAAAGAAACCAGTTGTCAGCTCCGATACACGATCCATAGATGTGCCCTTTCGTTTCCGAGAGCGATGTCCTCGTAAGGTTAATTGCAGTAAAGAAAGAGCAAATTAGTCCGGGATTCTGTTTAATGACGTAGCATCGAAACGAGTAAAACACGAACGGCCCTCAGGGGGGGAGACGGTATTAGCGGTTTGCTCGTGTTCAATAGGCTGTATGATCCGGCGACTCTCCCTTACGACCTGTTTATGGATAACAGCTTGTCAACGGACAAATCGTTTCACGTAGAACACGTCGACGCGACGTGGAACACGAGGAGGAGCGACACTAGGAGGCCCATTTAAACTACGTGGTCCGCTATAGCAGTGATATACAGATATATAAGTATAGCATACGGCCAGAGTAATTCGCACGTGGATATTTTCACAAGACGTCAAAGTGACAGTTGTCACGTGACAGTCCCTTTGTGCTCGGACGATTAAATAAGAAGCGGAAGTTTGGAGCATTTAACAAAATTACAACCTTTTTCAATGCACAACTTAAGGATCGGTATCAATCGAGTAGGTATCACGGAACTTGGTTATCCTGACGATGTAAGTAGCCGATTAAAGACAACAGAGAGAATAAGAAATTATTTTGACAGGTATTGGCATAGTAACAGGTAGCTAACCAAGAGTTTCATTAATACTCACACTTTGTACAATCTCGGTTAATAATTTGTGCGGAATGGCTCCTTCTTTCCTCGTCAAGGGACTTTTGTTGATCTTAAGTGAGTTGGTGGTCCTGTCTGTGAAAAGAAGCATATAACGAGCCGCGGCTGAGGTGCTAGGTCGGTGGGAGAAATTATACGTAAAAATTATTCTTTTTTTGAGAATAAGTTAACGCGATCATAAATTACCGGTCGAAACGAACTTCGGTCAAGTACCTCCGGCCCCGCTTCGGCACCTGGGGGCGTCATCTTCCTTCATCCACTGTCTGCTTTTACGTCGGCTCCTGCGCCACCTCGGCGTCACGCTGTGGTTAGGTTAATTTGGCTCATCGAGGCGACCGAAGTTCATCCGAAGGTATTTTCGCATTCGCGCGCCTCTGACGGCGTTTTGGGTAAGCTTATTCAAGTATACGTAGGGGGAAAGAGCAGGCAGACGACGCCTGGCGTTTTTAAGACGATCGTAAACATGTGTAACAACAGTGCCGGCACAACTCGCCATGTTGGAACCCCGTTGGGAGCGTCGGGGCTTTCCTACCCCTCGTGCCTTTTCACCACTCGACTCGCTCCGGTGTCTTAGATGCCAGATAGCAGTTTTATGGAAATTCTTCGCGGTCGAGAGCACGCCTAATGCTCTGAATAATATTCCGCAACCTAGCCCTGCGAGCTTGTATAATAGGCGGCTCCAGACTCCTACGTAGTAATTGATGATCTTTTTATTCTGCCTCCACGATGCACCTTATTACACTCCGGAGCCCTTTGCTCTTTCGCCACCTTGCGTACTGCGATGTTACTGCTGTATACGCCCTTTAACTTTTGCTATGTTCTGACATACGAAGTTCTGGTATACAACTTTCTTTGGGTTGCACGTAAAGCGTCCTACTTTACACTAAACAGATTGTCCAAGGTGCTTAAATATTTTTTCGCA